TGCAATATAAAAGTATATTTAAAAACTTTAATGTTAGGCGGGATTAATCGCGATTAACTTAAGAAAAATGTGCGCTTAGTTATTTTTTTAAATCGATTGACAGCACTAAAAATAACTATTATAAAATACCAAATCATCAAGAAATCACATTTTGTCAGAGTTTAGCTCTTTGTGTATGAAGTAAGAAGTCACAAAGTGCCTTGAAAAACACAAACTTTTCAGTTTGCGACTGAATCACATAAAGAGCGCTCCTTTTATAATCATTGAAGTCATCGGTCAGTTCTGTATAAAACTACAGAAGAATAATGGTACATTTAATAAGACTAGAATATATGAATTTTCTACATAAAAATTCTATTTTGCACATTGCTGTTAATAAAAGTACATTTTGTATGCTTCCCAAATATATATATACATATATATATATATATATATATATATATATGTATATGTATATGTAATATTATTAGTATCTGATTAAATTATGTTTCTTTTTAATACCCTACACACACACACACCCCCAGCGCTACCAAATCTGCTGGAGCCCTGGATATGTTAGCACTGATAGCCCCAAGCTTTCCCGTCTGATCTGTACTGTCCCATCCAATAAAGGCATAAAAATGCCAAATAATATATAACTTCAATAAATGACACACGTGCATGGGTGAATTGTTAAATACGATCCATATCATGGATTTAGTAAGCACATGAATTGTCATGTTGTGCTGTAACACTAAAGACGCAGTGTGCTGTTAAAGAGTGTTCATTACTGGCCAGAATACGAGCAGGCTACTGTCCTCTACAGCTTGTGTGTTTGTGATGACAGAGGGACTGACTTGTCGAGCGCGGGGATGTTCCTCTTGGCTGTGATGGCTCTGAAGCGCAGGATGATGTGAATGCAGAGAAACACCGCAATACTGTCGTAACAGTCTGACAGGTATGTGGACAGATTCTTCTGCAGATAGAGAAGAGAGACAAAAATGTGACCCTGGAGCACAAAAGCAGTCTTAAGTCGCTGGGGTATATTTGTAGCAATAGCCAACAATACATTGTATGGGTCAAAATTATAGATTTTTCTTTTATGCCAAAAATCATTAGGATATTAAGTAAAGAGCATGCCCCATGAAGATATTTTGTACCTTTTTGATATTTTGTAATTTCCTACTGTAAATATATCAAAACTTAATTTTTGATTAGTAATATGCATTGCTAAGAACTTCATTTGGACAACTTTAAAGGTGATTTTCTCAATATTTAGATTTTTTTGCACCCTCAGATTCCAGATTTTCAAATAGTTGTATCTCAGCCAAATATTATCCTATCCTAACAAACCATACATCAATGGAAATCTTATTTATTCAGCTTTCAGATTATGTATAAATCTCAATTTCGAAAAATTTACCCTTATAACTGGTTTTGTGCTCCAGGGTCACAAATGAGAATGGAGAATGTCTAATAAAAAAACTATTACAAACTATAATAATAATAATAATGAAGATTTTGTTAACAAATTACATAACTAGAACAACAGAAATATGGAAATATCATGTTTCAAGATAAGGGAGTGACTGTACCAGGAACATGCTGAGCGTTTTTCCCATAATGCTGTTGAACAAATCCAAAGCAGAGTTTCCAGCCACCATGAAGAAGTCGGAGAGGAAGAGGAACTCTCGACAGCTGTTATCCAGCAGAGCGTAGTGCTGACTGCGGAAGAGCGTTTCGTACGGGTACTGACCGAGAGACAGAGATCAGGAACGAACACACAGAGAACGCATCTTAGGGGGTCAGTCCCTCTAGCATTTCACAGTTGAACACAAAATCAAGAAAAGTTTGCATTTTTGTTTTATGTCCACAGTTTTTCCAATAAATAAATAAATACAGGAGGATAGGGGTATAACGGTACACGCATGAACACGTATTTAACCACTGCACGAGCAGAACTTGGAAATTGGAAACTTCCAGTTTTATATATTGTTACTTTTGATAAGAAACAAAGTCTCATCTTTCAAATCATGTCCTTTTATTTCAGGAAACAGTAAATGTGGTTTTGACGCTCTTTGATGGTGAGACAGATCGCTGTATAAACGCCTCACAATCATCTCTTCCTCTTTACTGCTAGTTTTAACATGAAATAAACATGAATGAACATCTCATGCCTCGTGTAATTGCTCAATCAGTGTTTCAACCGCGGAAAGACGGCAATAAAACAGCTTGTAAACAAAACGTGACGTAGCCTTTCATTTCCCTCAGGCAGTCATCAGTGTCCACAGCTCGTTAGTGCGCGATAAATGAAGTCTAGAGAAGAGCATTTCACGAAATATCAGACTATATACTCATATTTTACTCTACCTGTTAGTGATGTCTTAATTATTTAATGTTTAAATAAATCTGTTAAGAAACGACTTGTGAGAGGCACTGTGTAAATGAATATATTTCAACAACAAATAGAATTTTTATAATTTAGAAGTTAATTTAAAAACTGCATTATGTGCAATTTACGTGTTTGCATACAATTTTTTTAATTTGAGTGTTGATTATTATATAAAATCTCGCTCTGTTTTTAATTGTAATCTTACAGTAATGTAAAAGGGCTCACTGTAGTTTAGAGCAGAATCTGAGGTCGATTTTTATCCCTAAGAAAATTTTAATTATAATTACATTTATTTAAAGAAAGAACAATTTGTTCAGTACGCCACTGTTTAACATAAAAAAAGCAATTTTAAGTTTAGTTTTTTCCTACTGCTGTACCGAAACCGTACCGAATGTTTGTGTAGCGTTACACCCCTGAAAGAGGAGCAGAAGTGAGTCACTGATCACAGCGATGGTGTGCTGGCTATTGTGTCAAAATACTATCCTGAGTGTTTCTATGCTGATCATCTGCAGGGCCATCAGTGTTTACTGATGAACTATTTACAGGTAAGCACATCTTGATTATTGGTGGGGTTTCACTGCAAAACAACGCCACATATAAGCCTATGGGATTTTTTGTTGTTCGTTTTGTCCTTTGCCAGGGGAAAAGAAAAAAAAAGTCCAATAACAAAGAAAAGCGCACCATGATATGAAATATTATTCATATTCATTTAGCCAAAGTTGAATTCTTAGGGCTAGGGGTGTTGAGATCAAGTTTACGAAAGAGTAATAGTGGCCCTAGCCTTTGCGAACACGAGAGAAATATCAGGACTGGCTCTCATGGCAGCATTGTAAAGCAGAAGCTCAGTGTCTCACTCTGGAGTCTCCTCTCTGAGCGGCGTGTGGGATCAGTATGGGCCCCTCCAGCTCCGCAGGACTCAACACTGCCCCCCTCTGGCCAACTGTGAAAATAGTGTTCCTACTCTTGAGAGAAGGTTTGGAGAAAAAACCTGCATAGCAGTTAAAGAAATCCACCACATTATAATGGCACAGCAAAAAGCAAACCCAAAAGGAGATCTTGAAGTAAGTGTGCTACTCTATGTGATTGTGGACAGCCGGCGGTTTGAAGGATATCTTTTTTGGCTGTGTCCTCCACTCCCATCAGATCATCCTTATCTGCAACGTCTTCATACTGGCAAAGAGAGAGAATGCAAAATAAAAATACATATGCATCTACATACATACAGTTGCAATCAAAACTATTCAACTGCCTTGACCTATAAGACATTCTGCTGCCGTGAACAAAATTATATGAAAACAATTCAACCAAGGCATCAGTAAACTATTATTATAACAGTAGCGCTTTGTAAAAGAAAACTAAAATCCTAAGCAGTCAATCCAGTCATTAAAGATAAGGATACTGCGCCCTGAGAGCCAAAGCAGATTTTTTTAGTCTATTATTATTTTTGCATTTACTTTTTTAGATTGCCCAAATCAGATTTTTTTGACTATATCCGATTTTTTTTTTAACCTTCTTTTAAAAGTGACCCATATCTGATATCTGTATTTACACTACACAGGCTTAACATGAAAAACACTGATCGTGGCTCAATGCATTAGACAGTGACCAAACTCTGCACACACTTTATTAATAAAGCATACTATGTATCGAAAAGCACACAAGTCCAGAATATAAACGTTTAACTTATTGACAGAACTCAGTTCTA